TCACTCACTGAGATCTTGAAGGCTGCCTTAACAACATATCACATAGGGGCTACACTTGATAAAATTGAAACTGTATTCTGTCAACAATAATTATGTGGGTGTTTTGCTCATTTCCTGCTATAGCTGTCCCATGGCAACAGCGTGAAAACAGCGCTCGTTTTTTAAATACATAAATGACTGCTTTGATGACACATTTCTGGCTCAGGTTTGGCAAACGCAAGGTGAAAACAAAGACTTTTTTGAGAAACTATCACAACTACTTCTGTTATACGCAAATCTGTAGGGAATGTGCTAATTCCCAAGTGAAGGGCGCAGCTTTGCTGTAGTAGTGGTAGAAGTGGCCTGAGGCATTTCCAGAGACTGATAACAAGTCAGCATTTGCATTTCAGGCCGTTCTCTCCACCCTCGGTGAATTTCACAACAAATACCTCAACTGAAGGTCATTATTCCATTTAACCCTGCCTTTGGGGTTGTTGCTGCTAAGGCAAATCAGATAAATCACTGCTAAAATTCCACATTTTATCAGAATTATAACTGTCTGGAGTGCTGAAAACGTATCTGGTGGTATTGATGATTTTGTCATATAAACTCTGGTACTTAATTGTTTTGGTAAATGGAAAATCAGCTTTACAATTTTCAGTTTTAAGTGTTTTGAGAATATTTAATTTTCCAATAATATTTTATGGGCTTGTGGACCAAGAAGAATAGGTATTGCACAGACAGTTCATAAAGCAGTTACAAGATGAATTAGGATATTGCAGGTTTTACCCTTGGCTCTGTGAACAGCTAAGCTCTGATGTAATAAGACCTGATGGCAAGATCAAGTGCACCTACAACTCCAGACTTTCAAATATCAGCTTCACTGAGAAAAGTAGCAAAAATGATACCATTATGGTTATTTTTTGCCTATTATGAACACCCCATCTAAACTTGTTTCATTGAAGTTGATACTAATGCAGTATAACTCCAGAAACATCTGGAGACTAACAAAGTGGACCAGATTCAGGCTGGATTTTTAGAAGGAACCATTTAATAACCCACCATATGTCCCTGGGAGCATCCTTTTTTTCATTTTAACATTCTAAAGGGATTTTGAAAACAAAATGTAGCACTAACAAAATGTAAAATCCATAGATGCATGTACTTAAGATAAATCTGTGATAAATTTGAAGAATAGAACAGTTTTTGCTTTAGGGGAAAGAAACAACTCAAATGTCAAGCTGTACACTGGAGTATGAACAAAGCCCAGTGTGCCTGGAATGTCCAGAGTGAATCTTACACTAGCCTCATATCAATTGTCTTTTGTATTGTCACATGGATGTAAAGGAAACCGGGAGTGTTTGCTATCAGCATCTGATTAACCACTGAATTCTAACCATAGTTTTGGAACAAAGAACAATTTTATTTGATGCCAACCACTGTCTGTGGCAGGGAACCAGTACAGTTTCCATTAGAGGAGGATGAATTCTAATTCTGATGAGATGCGGGGATGAAATGCTAACTCTTAAGCCAAATGAATATTCATATAGGAAAGTGAAAATAGGTGTCAAGGACTTGCTGCACTTAAGTCCTGGGTTACATGAAAACTGTACACCATTCAACAAAACAACAAGGTTTCTAATGATTACTTTCTCCATATAATTTATTCATCTATTCCAGAGCAGTGTTTCAGGGCTTAATGGGTATTTGTAAAGCTCTGACTCAAATGCACTCTCAAAATGCAAAACATTAAACCATTTACAATGAACAGAGTAGTGTAGATTACTGGTTCAGAAAACTGCATCTCATCAACATGTGCATTTAAAGGGTGTATTACTTCACTAGGCCCCTGTTCACAGTCCTGTGCAGTTGACAGGCTAAGTGTGCTTCCTTCTCACTGAATCCACTCTGATGTCCAGGGACAAAGGAAAAGTTCAGGAACTTTCTCTCTTTTCTTGTTTCACCCCATGTGACCTGCATTTTCCCTGTACGAGGCAATCTCATATCACATCTCAAAGAACTAATTGGAGAATAAATAAGATTAAGTAGCAATAGAATGGTCTGGGTTGGAAGAGACTTTAGAGATCATCTGACTGCAGCCCTCCCACCATGGTCAGGGACACCTCCCACTGGACCAGATAGCTGGAATTCCCATCCAGTGTGACCTTGAACACTTCCAGGGATGGCACATCCACAACTTCCCTGGACAACCTGTTCTTGTGCCTCACCACCCTCACTGGCAAGAGCTGAAGTCACCTCTAGTTTCTTGCTGGAAGATCAGCTTTCTGAATCAGAGACTTCTCAAAGTCTCTGACACAACAGACTTCTATGAGCACAAGTGGAAAACAAGATGACCTCATGCTTCCATGTGCTATCTGCTTGTTGATGTGATTCTCTGGCCCATTGTTGCAGTGCCATTGCACTTTTTATAGAGGCTGTATGCTCCTTAAACTAGATAAATGTCTATTAAAAAAAAAAAAGAAATTTTCAAATGTTAATTTTCTTAAACTATATTTTTTCTTCTTTGTATACTGTGATAGTTGCTTTATCACTATTAATAAAATCTCATGTAATGCTAATGATGGTAAAGAGTACTCCCAGTAATTCTAAAGGAAATCCAAGACTTCATACGACATTTAGTAGGAAAAGAGAAAGATCAGGCAAAATAAACATTCTGGGATTAAGTAATTCTTCTTTCCACATTAACTAGCTGTTGCCCAGACACTTTAATTCTTCACCATGCTGTGCACAATAAATGAGAAGTCAGGAAAGGCAAAATCTTGGCTTTTGATATCTCGTACCTTTCTGCCCATTAGTTCATCTCTCCTACACCTGTCAATGGTGGCTATTTCTACTTTCTTATTTTCCTCATGCATGGTCTCTACTGCATTTTGGGACACAGGAGAGGGTATAGTTTACATTTATATACATCAATGCCAATGTACAAACGAAAAATAAAGCTGTGAGTGGTTCATGGCAGCCTCCTGGACAGAAAAGAACACACATTATTGTTAGGTTCTTTTTATTAAATTAGCCAGCTTGGAAGTTTAATGTCAGTTTTTCTCTTTAGCCAGGCATAGTAACTAGTTTGGCTGAAATATAATCTAATAAGGGGTCAGTGTGGGGACTGAAGGAAAAAATTTAAAAGAAAAAAAAAAAAGAAAAAATTGCCCAGAAGAAACATGACTGAAATCCCAGATTATACTAATTTCCTTAGCAGTACTGTATATGCAGATAATATTTTTAGAAACCAACATCTCTCAGAAACAGGCATTACGTTAATTAAAATATGCCGTAGCCTAAGATTACATTTTATTAATTCCTGTTTGCAAGAAGGTCATGTCTAATGATTTCCTCTTGGAGTTCTGGTTTTAGCAATCAGATTGTTAAAGATTTTGATTCTTGTTCTACTTGTGAAATTACTCAGATCCTTGCAAACACAAATGCCAATTCCCTGATCTTTCAGTGTTCTTTTGAAGTTTTTGCCCCAGTGGGATTTTCTTTTTCTTGAGGTAAAACAGCTGCATGTACAACATCAGGAACTGTAATTAATTTTGCATCAGTCCAGAATAAAAGCCATGTGTTCAGATAACCAGGATAAATTACTGTAACAGACCAATACTGTTCTCAATTGCATTATCACTGCATTCAATGCACAGTTGCAATTGTGCTTCACAGCTGGCACAAATACACAATTCCTTGTGAATAATTAATATTGAGCTAAACTGTAACTGCATATTTAAGTATTCATGACATTTTACAGAAAATCACGTATGCAAAATTCTCCCAATGAATGAGATATAAATTTAAGAATAACCACCTCCTTCAGTTAACGCCTTGGGGAGCAGGAACATCTTGACCACTGTCAAAAGAGTGTATTGAAATCACATCTTTTAAAGCATTTTGTAAGCATGCAGAAACTCTAGAGAGAACATCAGAGTGGTTAGATGGACAGGCAGAGGCACAAAGAAATGTGGCCAATTTATCTGTTTCAATAAAAGGCAGTGGTTTGTCCTAAATCTTTTCAGAGTCCTTCAGTGTCTAATATCACCAGTAGTACTAGCACATAACACATAGCACATTCCACCCTTCTAAGTAATATTAATATAAGTTTCAAATCCTTCTAAATAATATTAATTAATCACATTACTGACCTGAGTTCACAGAGGGATCAAACTGAAGGCAGTTAACCAAATAAACACAAGTGGTCAGTGCTGTGGAAAATGGGGCAGGAATTTTGGAACTTATTTTGCACTCCCTAAAGATTACTCAGTTCAATTCCTCTGAACTTTGGGCGGTGTGAGCACCTATGCTGATTGAAAGCATCTTGTGGAGCCCGCACATGCTGTGGTTCTGTGTCCAGGGTTCATTCTTGTGGATGCTTTTAAAGATGCAGCCTCCTCATGTTCAGACACAAGCTTAGCTGTCCTTGGTGATTAATGAAATATATTGGCACAAGAAGTGCAAATATCTGTAATCATGTCTCACCTAGGTGCCTGATGACCTGAGAGCAAAGAGCAGGTACATCATGAAAACTGAGGAAAGGGCTTTCAAACAGGTAAGGAGGAGCAGGAGAAATGCAGCTCCTCCCCGACACCATAAGAATCAGGACAGATCTCCAGCATTCTTTGAATTTTGCTAGTTTTACATGTCCTGAATTTGTCCTACAATTTAAAAATTCTCTTGTTTTGACATTTGCCTAAGCAAGAACATTGTTCCTAGCACCTGCTTTTGAGCAGGTGCTTTTCTTGCAGGAAAATTTCTCAGTGAAAGTAGCTGTCATCTAAAGAGGCAACAGATCAATGTCAGAAAACTTGTTGATCAACTTCCTGCATTCTTGTTCACTTGAAAATGAGAAATGAAGAAATGAGTTCCGAAAGGCTTCTTCAAGGAACAAGGAAAATTGTTGCATACCAACAGTCGCAGACAACATTTTCTAGAAAATCTTAGGCTTAAGCATCTACTAAGGCCTTATTCACATAAAGAAATTTCAATGTAACTAAATTCACTTAGCAACTTGCTTGGTGAAGGGCTATACTCCTCCTGTGAGAGCATGTCAGTTTATTGAGACAGAAAACCCAGATGTGTTGTTCTTTACCAAGAGAAAGGGCACACAACTGAGGAGACTACAGCCATGGCAGCCATGCAATCTGTAGCTGAGGCAAGCTGAGGGCACAGCTCCAGCTTGTTACCAGTCCCACATGGTCAAAGTGCCCTTGCCAGCAGCACAGCAACAGTGAAAAGACTTGAAGAGCTAAACAGCATCTCCTCTTTATCTGAAAGAAAAGAAAAAAAGGTTGCTGTTCTTTTCCCAAGCCTCTAGTTTGGCTTCTCTCAGTCCTTGCAGGTGACCTGAAGCACTCAAACATTTCTCTCTTCCCTGCACCTGCTATCCCCTTCCTTCCTCCTCTAACCTGACCTGAAGTAAATCTTGCCTTCAGACATGATCCGTACTTTGAAGCATCTTCCAAAAACAATGCAGTTGCAAAATGTGCAACCTTTATCTGCAGTATATTCTACAAAGCTTTGATAACATAGTTTGCCAGATAAGAATGTGAAAAGAAATACATATTTTATAGCAACCACAGTGGCAAAATGACTGAATTTTGTTGGCTTACTTGGTGAATTTCAGCTAAGTGGGGAAATAAGCCCGGTAGAAAAACTTCCCTGTGTGACATGCTGCATCTTCCATATAACCCTCTGCTATCCTGGCTGCACCAGCATAACAAACTAATAATACTTACAAGTGTGAGATGTGCAGGTTTCATAACAGAATTCCAGTGGGAGTAATTGTTACCAGTTTTAAGACAGAACTTGTCAGGTTTGGGAAAGAGACTGAATACAGTTGCACCTGTGACAGCAGAAGGCTGGCTGCAATGATCCAACAGACCCTACATTTCAAAGTAAAAAGAAAAAACAAAACAAAAATGAGAACACCAAAGTCCTGGAAAAAAAGAGCCAAGTCTCAGAAAGAACAACAGCAGAACAAAGACAGTTACACATTAGCCAGCACACACGCTCCTGTGTGGCTTCTGTGGCTGGAGATGCCAGAGAGAAGAGCATGAGCCAGCAGGGCCATAGCAGTCACTGCCATGTAACAGATCCTTTGCCACACAGAATAAAAAGATATTACAAAACAAGAACGGAAAAAGGAAAAAATATTTTAATAAGCAGGCCTTCTCCATCCCCACTCTGTTTCCCAGACACACAACAATCTTGCAAAAACAGGGAGAAGGGAGAAAATATTTTCAGGGGTGGCAAATGCATCCACAATTCGTAGCAGCAGGCAGACTGAGCAGGCTTGTGGTGCTGCACTGACAGCTTAATTGCATTCAAGGTGCTACCGACAATGTGCCATGAAAACTTGTGCTGGGAGATCATTCCTATTTGGAAGAGTACAAAAAGCAAGAGAAGAGATGGAAAGTAGCTTGTCCAGAGGGTGAGTCCATACTCAGAGTAAAGCTGCCTCCTGAATGTGCATAAGGCCAATGCCCTGAAAACTTTCTGTCTGGCTTTACTGCCTTTCACCTCTAACTCTTCAAACAAAAATTATCCAGTGGCAGCTCACTTCAACCAGGTTTTGCTGGGTCTCGGGATCCAGGGATAGATGAAGAACAATGCAGAGCCTCTGAGCCAAGGAGCAATACACTCACTGCTCATTCTGCCCAGGGTGTAACATCAACTCAGACTTTTCTAGGAAAGGGGGGCTCACAGACCCCCAGCAAGGAGTTGAACAGCAAAGTATTTCACAGGCCTGCAGGTGGAAATAGAGAATAACGAATTCCTTCTAAGGAGTAACTGTCTTCCACATCCTAAAAACCTGCTTGCAGATTTAGGGAATTCTGCAAAGTGGGGAGGAGTTTCTTGCTTTGAAACAAGCAGTATCTCTGCTGTTTCTTCTGGAAAGGGAACCTGCCTCCTTGACAGCCTTCTGCAACTTGCCTTATCATTTCTACTGAGTGAGATTTCAAACCTCAGGCTGAAAAGAATTGTATGCAACTTTTATACCTAAATTAAGGCCACCTCCAACTGGTAGTATCTCCCAAGTGGGATAACACTACTTTTGTGTGGAAGAGAGAAATTTAGAAATTTGCTACACACAAGAGAGAAATTTGCCACACTGTAGATTATTTGTGAAGTTTGTTTGTGCTTTACTGAAATTGCTTTGCAAAACAGTCTGATTTACATTTGGTGGCATTTTTCATCTAAGAATATTATTGGCATAAGTGTTTAGTATACCCCTGCCAAAAAAAAAAAAAAACCCACAAAAAAAACCCACAACAGAAAATTAACATGCAAGGCAAAGAGCAAAAGACAAATGCAAATCCCCTTAGGATTTTCTTAGGAATCAAAAACCAGTTGGAGTAAACATTTGCCAGCTCAACAGTTTGAACTGTCCTATACACATCTCTCTAATAGCCTCTGCAATAATTGACAGAGTACAATACCTAGAAAAGATGCCAGCACCTCACAAATATGAGGCTGCTGATAGGATTAAGCATAATCCTGTCTCACCAATGAATAAAGAAAATAAGAAATGGAACCGTGTAGTGTGGGATAGCACTGAGTCTAAGATACACTTATGACAAGCTTTTGGTGGTTTTTGTGCACAACAAAACTTCACTGAGAAGGTCATGCATGAATTATGAAAAAAAAAAAAAGCATTATAACTGAAGAATGCCAGGCAAAGCAGGAAATAATCTTTAATTAATTTGTGAAGAACTTTCATTTGGCATACACAGTCTGTCAAATAAAGACAGAACAGTAGCTTTCTTATTAAGCTGATAAAATTGACCAAAAGTGAAGAAATCTCATAGTCAAAAGGCATTAGAACAATGGATTTTTACTAGGAGATGTAATAGAAATCCACAGGGAATCCTGGCAATGCTCACTGGCTTTTTTCTCCTGCAATCAAAGGTATTTCTGACAGAAAACAGAAAAAATCTTTACATTTTATGCTTTTCTAGATTTTGACTCAATATTTGATCTCAGGCAGGGTAAAATGCAAGTAAATTCGAACTTATTCATTAATTCTAACAAGTCAAAGTACTGCACTTTGTCTTTTCTTATCGCTATTATTGTCTTTGTAATTTTCATTTCCAATTGCCATCTCCATCTCCCACCAGCTTGCACAGGTATTAAGGGATATTTTTGTCATTTGTAAAATGCTGGGAAACTCGTGATAATAGGCACTTTATAAATGTAAGGTGTTATTTTAGTGAAACTGGGACAAACTGCTCATTTCAAACATAATTGGCTACAATGGAAAAACTGGAGCATCCACAGAAAACTGGGCCATGGTGCATGTGAGGTGCTAATATTTATCCTAATGTGGCACCTTTGGCTCAGCTCATAGGAACTATTCACTAGAACCCTATTCACTGAGGTGTGTGAGCAAAAGAATGTTAAAAGAATTTTATCTTTATTTGAAAGTGCTTCCTGGGAACAGGAAGCAATTCAGCAAATCAGTGTGTTTGTTTTTCACATCCACAAGCCAAAATTTAAATCTCACTTAAGCCTAAAGGGAAACAAGTTGCGTGATTTCAGCATAATCCCTTCAGAAATGTATTCTCTTCACAAGAACACTGCTCAGCACAGTAGCAGCTCTGTGCAGGAGAAGCCTCAAACTGAAACATTAGAACTGCTAACATTTAGGTTAAGAGGGAGAGTCGTTATTAGCAGCCTTTATAACAATATCCTATATGAATTCATAAATAATCTTAGCATATTGACATCCTGGAAAGGAAATATGGAAAGCTTGCCTAGGAGCTGCCTGCATTAATCTTCATTCTATCCTGTACTGGCATCTTTCCCAGTTTCCTATGCCCAAAGTTCACAATGTCTGTTTTTAAAGGAACACACTGACCCTTATAGAGAAGAGCCCAGAAAGCCTGATTTGCTACTAGTTTTAATTTTTATATCCTCTTTTCCTAAAACAAGTTGTTTCTGAAGTGCAGTTTCTAGTGAGCCAACAGAAGACAGCCTTTATGGGAAAAAAAATTGGTGTGCAAATCAGATGACTAAGGAACGTGGATTGATCTCACCACCAGGCCTTATGGGGGGAGAATAAAGTAGCAGGATTCCATGGAGCTAAAGCTCATGGTCCAGTCTCACTAACATAGACCAACACTGGCCAACAGCTCCTTACCATGGGCTCTGAGCAACTGTTCCATGCAGGAGCTGGGCCCAGTGAAAATCTCAAGAATGTTTTCATCCTGCCAACTCCTTGCCAAGGCCAGCAGTGATTTTGCCTTTGTGAAGCAAATTTTGGATTCCATGCACCCATTCTGAGTAAGGAAGGGAGAGGTGAGATCAGAGCCAAGCAGCTGATTGATAGCTGCAGCGTAGACACACTCATAAAGAAGTTCCTGGAAAAATAAAGTACTGCATGCTGTGAGACAAAGAGGTTCAAGGATTTCTATGCAACAGAACCACTTCACTCTTCCAGGAAAATGTCACAGCAAAACACTTCTAGTGGATGCACATCAACTGGCCAGACAGGGCTCATGTAGTCCTCAGAGAAACACCCTCCCTTTTGGGGAAACAGGCCAATAAGATAACAGCCTAAGGTGCCACATGTACCTGTTTCACATGTGGATCTCTACCGTGACTTTAGGAGCCTGGAGTTCACCCCTCTTCTCAACAGAACATGAACACACCATCAAATCTCATTATATAAGTCTGATTTGTCTGCTTCCCTTAGAAGTCAAGGCACCTGGGTTTGGGAGGAGACTGGCCTGGCGTTGCTGTCCTCATGCTGCAAAGTCCCCAGCTCTCCCTCTGCTGAAGTGGAAGCCCATGCACTGCGGAGTTTCCTACCAGCACGTGCACTCCTTGCGTCCCCTTGAAACCCCTGGCAAAAAGAACAGGGCTTCCTTAGGGGTCCTAGGGAGAAGAGGCGCTTGTCATGTTCTCAGACTGAAGAGACTGTGTTACCAACACAAGGGGAGATGTAACACAAAGCCTGGTTTTGGAGTGTCTGTATAAATCTACAGGGACACCTGACACAGTCAACCATTTCTATCATTATGCCTACCTCTGACTACCCCAAAATGTCTTTCCAAGATATTACTTTTTCCCTCATCGTGGTGGTGATAATTCACTCTGGGTTACAATGAATACATAGTTTCCTTACTAATCAGCTCCAAAGTTAGCAAAGGATACTGCCTGCTGTTCTTGCTTATCCAAGGTAATTTACTGAAATTAAGTTAGTTTACCTGCTGATCTCTATGGAATGCATTCAGGGTATTCCTCAACAGTCCATTATATTAAGTTCTGGGAAAATCACCAGCAGGAGCTAAGACTAATACCTTCTAAAACCTTTCTGAGCAAAGCTTCCCTTTAGCAAGGTTGTTACCCTATAGCTCCTGTCATATACAGCACATACTGTACTAGTGGAGATGCAACACTAGCAGAGATTCTAGGTCAAGTTTCACACACTCCCAGCACAGTTACTGTGGATTTAGGCTGGGAAATTTGAAGGAAGAGTTTGTCCCTCACTGATACCGTGAGGATGTGAGGACAGTGTGAGATGACCACCTAAATGAAATACAATGCATTTTTTATGCACTTGGAGATCAAGAATACCTTTGTTTCTAACAGTCTGAAGTTTTCCCTCTGATGCATGCTCATAATTCCCACTGATATCTATAATAAAATCCATGCCCCAATTCCCATTATCCTGGCACACTGCTCTCATGACAAATGACAGAGAGGATGAAGACAACAATAGAAGGGACATTATCAAGGCAGGTAAAATTTCCCACAAGAGTAAGTCTTAAAATATGTGTGTTAGATGAATGAACACAGCAGCCACTTGCCTGAGGTTGCCTTTATTACTCAAATAAAATGATATCTAAGAAAAAGATATTTCCACTGCTTTGGCAAGAGG